TTTTAATGAGCAAATGCACTTCTTGGATAAGTTATTAAAATTATTTTCTCTCTCTAATTTTTAGATTTAAATAATTTCAGCAAAATGATTCATCTATCTATCTTTAAATGTGGCGGTATATGCCTCATACTGCGGAATAAATTACGCACTCCTCCCCATTTCTTCGCTCCCTCCCTCTTCTTTGAATAGAGATTGAACTATCATGAAGTATGAAAGGAAAAATTACTTTCTTCATCATCAATCATTTCACTATAAGGAGATGATCACCTTCTCCTCCTTCTATACTTCTCGATCTTACAATCTCACTTCTCACTGACTCACTTCTCGACCTTACAATGACATTCTTAGAAGCGGTAAATATCCATCATGAACCATTATCCTTTGTATCAATTGTCATTTATCTTTAGGATCAATCAAACCTTACGCTATATTTTCACGGGAAACGCACTTCCATCTACGGTATTTCGTTAAGTTTGATAACACCAAACGTAAATTAATCATCATCTCTTAACAAAATGCAATCATTTATATCAATGAATCCACTACTATCACTACTACTACGATTGCTATTGCTAATTTCAATTATTCAAGTAGGTTTCTTACTTACAATCTACACTTGTAAAAAATTAAATGAGCTAATTTTTCTTATCAAAATGCTACAAATCGTTAGCATGAATCATTCAAATTCATATAGTTTAATAGTTTCCAGTCATTTAGTTTAATTAATTCTGTTCATTGAAATTTTCTCTTCTACTGGACAAGTGACCAATGAGTTGCGCTTAATGATAAGCTTACTATAATTTTAGCTTATAATGATCCAGTATTGAAATTATCACATGAGAAATTTTTGGTCAATACAGACGATGAATGAAATTAATGCGCTAATTGGAATTGAGCATTCATTTCTACCTTCTTAATTTTTATAATTTGTTCGAAAGTACTAACTCATAGTTTATTCTTTTTTTTTTTTTTTGCAAATTATAAAGGTTGTAGGATATGTTGTTGACATGGATGGAATCGGTTATATTGAAATTTGAATGCAATTGTGTAAAATCATTTTAGCACATTTTACTGAAAAAAAAAAATCAGAAAATATTATAGTTTTAGCTTTTGTCTGATTAATTATTGATCAAATGTGCTCAATTTTTCTATGTCACCAAATCAGTTATAATTAATGAAAATGTAACAATTTATTTGAAATGAAATATCAGATGCTCTCTTAATTCAAAGAACTATGAAGGTGTAATAATTATTGACCCTTACTCTTTTTTTTTTTTGTTTCTACCTTTTTTTCTAATTTCAAATTATCTTTTTATTTTTAATTTCTTCCAAATATGGAAGCATCGTGAAATGACATTTACATGCTATGAATTATTATGAAAAATGTAAAAAGCAAAATCTTCAAAAATAGCAAAATTTATAGAAAAATGAAATGATCTGATGAAATTGATTTTTTAATTAATAATAATTTACCTCTAAAAGGACTATAAAAAACAAAAACAAAATATGGGTAAAAATTCTTAACGAAAAAAAAAAATGAAATACAGTAAAAATTCTTGTGTAAAAAAATCTGGAAACGTATTTATTTCTAGGCATCACATTCAACACTGAACACTATTCAAAATGAAATTTCTGGTGAGTGCTTAAAGTTTCCTTTTTTATTTAGCACTGCTTCTTCGGCTAATTTTTTTTCAATTTTTAATTTATTTTTCTTTTTTTGATCTTTTTTCAAGTATAAGGCATCTTAAGATAACATAAGAGTGTATTTAATAATATTTAAGTGAATATACTCTGCAATAAGCGATGAATAAAAAATATTAAAATGTTGAGTAGTTTTTTTTTTTTTTTTTTAAAAAGCCAAACATATTTAGCGGCTTAATTACCTTCCTTAGTGTTTGGCATTACGATGAATGTTAAAAAGTTCTTTTAATTCTTGAAAAATGCAAAAAAAAAGTTGATATCTTTGGCATATGAAAAAGATAATTCAAATGTTGCACTAAAATTGAGCTTCCACGTTAACTTTAAGGAAGATATTTTTGCTTACAATTATTGATCAAAATTCAAAATAACTATCACATTACAGGAGAACCGTTGGTTGAATGTGGAAATGAATTTATCCGTTTTTCCGTCAAAACAATGAAGCCTTTTCGAGGTAAAGTATTCGTCAAAGGACAATATGGAAACAACGATTGTAGTCGAAATTATAATGGAACTGATTTCACTCATACTTCTCATTCAGATGGTAATATTTTAATATATAGTTGAAAAGTTTTTAAATGTTAAAATTGTTGAATATAGTTATTTCTTAAATCTAAAAAGTGTCTTATTGAGTACTACATATGCAATATCGTACGAATAAATCTTAAAAAATTCGATTTTGATAAATTGCGCTAAATTTGCTAAGTTGAATTCTGCTTTCTTACTCAATCAAATATAAATGGTTTATAGAGGAATGATTTTGAGAATCTCGCTTTTAAAATGTTTTAATTTAACAACAGTATGTTCATTCTTCTTCTTCTTCTCTCTTCTAACTTCATCATTTCTTCTTTCTTCTA